CACAGTATTATTATCATTCTAATAATTGTGTCAGCTTGATGCTGTTCTTATATAAGGTCTGCGATGGAGCTAGAAAAGAAAGTGAAACTATCTTATAAAAGCAGAGATTTATCTATCTTATCTTATAAAACTATCTTATAAAAACAATAGTAATTTAAAATTACAGAAAGGATGAGAACTCATGACTTTATGCATTTTTGAAAAATTTCATAAATGTAGTGTCCACCGAGTTTTTGGCATTTCATTCCCAGGAGAGAGGAATGTATATTCTTTCATTGATAAGTATTGCACATAATAACAGGGGGCTTATTACCACAGGGTTCGAATCCCGGCGGTACCATGGATGTTTGCAGTGGTTCGGAATCCACTTTAAGCCGTAGATCCCGGTCTAATATGACAGTAGAAAGTCACAGAGCCCAATTAGACTTCTTCTCACCCACATCATTCCCAAACTGTAAAGGGGCTACTCGGCTCTAAGTACATTGATGTGGTGTGGCGTAGTAATAGTACATAATAACAACCCATCACTTAAATTTGACAGCAGATAAGGTAGTTATATTACGTGCAATTAGTGGTTTTGTACTGACTGATGAGAACATCCTGTCCCTCAAATCGGATAGCAGATATTCAGTATCATGTATTATGAGAAATTATCGAATGTTTGTGCGATTTTCTCAGGTCGGAACAATTACAGATGGAATATGAACTATACCATGAGTTGTTCCATCATGTTGGGTGATAGACCATGGGCTGATAAAGTGTTTACTTCAATGAGAAGTGAGGGAAGCTGACCCCCCCTTCCTACTGCGGATTTTCTTAAATGGAGGGTTTCTGGATAAAAATTAAAGAGTTCTGCGACAAGGAGTGTTGTTTTCCTCTGAAGTGATTGAACAGGTCTGAGAATCCATCTGTTTCCAAAATGAGCCCCTTGTGGTTTCGTATATCACGTCGTGTGATAATGAATGTCTGCGCAGACCACGTGTTTGAGATTCTACGAAGTCTCGAGAATTCTGAAACTCACCGACCTCGCAGTGAACTGCACTTGTGATCAAATTTACAATTTTAATTTTCATTTCTTTGTATAATAACAAAGAGTTCTGTATATATAGTGCTTGTAAATAAAAATTAAAGTGTTCCCATGATCCATGGCCTTCTTCTTGAAGCCGTTATGGGTTTAGTATAGGCAGAGACGCTACAACATATATATATGAAATGGGTATTTTAATAAACTAGATAATGACTGGATGCTATATATGACAGTAGAGTGAATTGAGAATATTGCTGTTACATATTATATTTGATTTTTGTTGAATCCTTTTAAGTCGAAAAGACTACGATATCCGATATTATTGGAAGACATGCAGAACATGATACGAAACACACTAATTAAAATGTTACTAGCAAACTATACGATAAACTTTACTTTTACATTTGTATTACAGAGATTTTTGTTTTCTTATTATTAATTAAGCAAACTCTTTCGTTAATTTTTAGTTCAGTTATTCATTTGAGAGCAAAACTAAACTGGTGAGCTTTTCCTGCCCTATACTGCTTCGCAAATAGTCTTTTAATTATTTTTTATTAATCAAACAAATCGTCGATACATTCTCATGTATCAAATTTAAATTAATTATTAGTATACTTTATTTTGGCAAGTTCTGATGAAGCCCATTTGGGTCTATTGGAATGACAGATCTTAAGGACTGTTCTTGGAGGTGTTAGGGAAAGGGATTGTTGAAAATTATGAAAAATTTATGAATGCTGAATGCTGTAAATGAATGAATGAAAAATTTATGAATGCTATCAAGACCCAGATATTCTAAAATTTATTAAGATCTATAGATTAAATTGGGCTGCTCATGTATTTAGAATGAATGATTTAAACTCTGTAAAAAGGCTCATTTTGGGAAAGCCACAGGGACAGAGAGGAAGAGGACGACCCAAGTTGCGATGGATAGACGCAGTTGAAAAGATGTTGCTGTACTAAAGGTAAAGAATTGGAGGACCCTTGTCACCCAGAGGAATGCATGGAAATCTCTTCAAAGGAAAGCCTTGGTCCCCTTGGGATGTCGTGATGATGATTATTATTATATACCTTATGTAAAATTAGATAAATGATTTTTCGGCAAAAATATAAATATCATTAACAGAGTTTAATTTTTCAATTTTTAAAAATAAAAACTATAATTTAATATAAACTGTAATAAATATCTTCTCTAGGGGCCATCTAAGCTCGGGGCATTGTCCTGGTTGCCTTCGTGGTAATTACTGCCCTGAATTCATTATGTGATTCATGAAAATAATGTCAAATAAATTGTGCATGCAAAAGGTATATTCCTTGTAACTTGTTATTATCATTTTATCATCATGACAGTTGTAGTTAAAAAGCACAGTCGGGGAAAAAAATACATAAAACACATTCTATGTCTGTTTTATTTTGCTGTGTATCAAATACACAATTTTATATCTAACTTTTGATTTAATTTTATGCGATATTATATAACAAGAATTTTTTTAATGTTTTTTACTTTTTTAAAAGTGAATTTTTAAAAATTTTAAATTGAAGTTATCTTTTTTTTTTCAAAGAATTCTCTTTTATTATTATTATTATTATTATTAATTAAATGAGGTATCTGAATGAAAAAAAAAAATGACATTATAGAACACGAGAATGATAAATGACTTAATAAATATAACAGACATTTTTAGATGTATTTCAAATGCTAATTATTTAGTTGCATTTGGATTAGCTGTAGAAAAATGTCTTTTTCAGAGAAATTCAGTAAAAATAAGTGATTGATTACCACATTAACAAAGCTAAAAATGAGAACCTGAATTTTCCATTTGCACAAAATTAAGGTTTGGTGGAGTCATAAGTAATAATTAAGAAAAGAACTTACATCAATCATTTTCTAATTTGTAACATAATAATAGTTAATGGCTTTATAAAATGTGATTTTTTTTTTTTTTTTTTTTTTTTTGCAACTCTTACACAAATCTTGTTCTGGATTTTTTATTTCTTATATCTTTTCATATAATATTATAAATTCTAATCATTTTACTTTTAAAAAAAAAAAGCTGTGGATATTTTTAGTAATTGAGATTAAGAATTGTTCTTTAGATTTGATTTTTAAAATTGTTTATTTAGATTTGTTTATTCACTTTTAGAGATAAAATTCATTAGAAAGAAAAATTATAAGATGTCAGAAAAATAGCTTATTAGTATGTATAAAATAATTTGTTCAACTTTATTTTTAGAAATGTTTTAGAATTGCTTACAACTGTCTTTTTTTTTTTTGGAATTGCTTGGAATTTTTATCTCTTGAATTGCTTGGAATTATCCTTTTTAGAATTTTTAAAATTTTCAATTGTAGAACTTTTAAAATTTTTATTTTTAGATTTGTTTAGAATTTTCATTTTTAAAATTGTTTCAGAAGTATCATATTTAGAATTGTTTAAAATCGCCATTTTTCAAATTTTTATTTCTTGAATTTCTGCGAAGTATCATTTTAAGGATTGTTTGTAATTTTCATTTTTGGAATTGCTTAGAATTTTCATTTTCAGAATTGTTTGGAAGAATCATTTTTAAAATTGTTTGAAATTGTCCTTTTTAGAATTTTTAGAATTGTTTGGAATTTTCCTTTTCAGAATTGTTTGGAAGTGTCATTTTTGGAATTGTTTGGAAGAATCATTTTTAGAATTGTTTAAAATTGTCATTTTTAGGATTGTTTATAATTGTCATTTTTAGAATTGCTTCGAAGTATCACATTTATAATAGTTTGAAATTGTCATTTTTAGAATTGTTTGAAGTTGTCATTTTTAGAATTGTTTGGAATTGTCATTTTTAGAATTGTCATTTTTAGAATTGCTTGTATCATTTTCAGAATTGTTTAATTGTCATTTTTAGAATTGTTTATAATTGTCATTTTTAGAATTGCTTCGAAGTATCGTATTTAGAATTGTTTGGAATTGTCAAGTTTAGAATTGTTTGGAATTTTCATTTTTAAAATTGCTTCTAAGTATTATATTTAGAATTGTTTGGAATCGCCATTTTTAGAATTTTTAAAATTTTCATTTTTAGAATTGTTTGGAAGTATCATTTATAGAATTGTCCTTTTTTAGAATTGTTTTGGAATTGTCATTTTTAGATTTATTCAATGTCATTGTTAGAATAAATACTCTGACATAAACTGTTTTCAGCATATTTTCTCTATTCCGTCCAATTAAATTTTTCTAGTGTCCTTTGAAACATTTATGGGTAATAAACTTAAAAAAATTGCTCATTAAAGAAAAAAAAGTGACAATGACAAACAACAAGCTAATCGTTTCACGCATGAAAAATGGTTCATCCTAAAGACTTCCTTTAACAAATTCAGTAATTATTTTTAATGAATTCGGTATGGAAATTCTATCATTACCGCTGCACTCGAGAATGGAAGGGAGGGGGAGGGGGGTCCCACCTAGAAGATGAAATACGACCGTTACAATTTCAAGTCCATGGGGTGTTTTCCCCCCAACAGCTCTTGGTATCCGGTTTACGCTCAGGTTGGCAAAGCGTTATCAGCGCTCTCTGTCATCAGAGCGGCATCTGTGTTGACGGAAATCGGTTCTGGCTGTCATCTTTTCCTTTGATGAAAACACCATTAGGTGAATGTGCTTCATAAAAATAAAAGAGACTCTAAGGCCTTCAATCATGAGTACGTATCTAAGAGACTCTGTCACCTTCAATCATGAGTAGTATGGGCTCGTGGGCTCGGCAAGCCCACGAGGGCTCATGATTGAAGGGGAAGGAAGCAGCTTCTGTTGTGATGGAGCACCCGTAGGTAGAAGCCTGACTTTGGCTCCGTGACGCTCTTACAGTCGTAGCAGACCGGGACCTACGGCTTAAAGTGGATTCCGAACCACTACAAACATCCATAGCACCGCCGGGATTCGAACCCGAAACCTGTGACACCGAGCGCTAGACACTCGGCCATTCAGGTCCCAAATTTGTGAATGTCAACGGCACGCGGTGTTCCCAGGTGGTCACCCACCCAAGTACTGATCGCGCCCAATGATGCTTGACTTCGGTGATCTAAAAAGAGACTCTTCGTAGAACAATCAGAGTAATACAAGGGCCGAAATAGAATGATTGATTGTTTATAAGACTTTGCCAAACCTCAATTTTGTACAATGGAAAATACACATCCCTAGTTTTCTTATGACAATTAATGAGCCAAACATAATTATTACACTAAACACCTTACATTTACGCACTGTATATTCCAGTAAGTTCCCACACTTAGTTTATATTTTTTAATAAAAACTGTGATAAAAAAAATAATTAATTCATGACATTTTTTTCCATATTTAATGTTTAATTTTGGCAAATTTGTTTAGGCAAAAAATGAATGAATGGAAAAAAGGTGAAAAGTGCGAAGGAATCAAGATTAGTTTGGTTTGTCGCACTACGGTCATTTTGTGAACACGCTGGTCTAATTAAATTGGCCTACATTTAACATGGATTCCGAACCACTAACAAACATCCATGCCACCGCCATGATTCGAATCTAAAGCCGGTGTTACCAAAGAACAGAGCATTAGCCAATTGGCCATCAGGCCGCAAGGAATCAAGAAGAAATATCAATCGTAGATGCCAACCACTGATGAAGATAAAGAATTGTGGTTTGTCAAATTTCAAAAAGAAAAACTATTGAGAATTATTATTTATAAATATATTTGAAAAGTAAGGGGCCTGAAGGTCGAGTGGCTGGAGCTCGGTACCACAGGTTTCGGGTTCGAATCCCAGGGGTGCCATGGATGTTTGTAGTGGTTCAGAATCCACTTTAAACAGTAGGTCCCCGTCTAATAAGATCGCAGAGCGTTGTGGAGGCAGTTTTACTCTCGTCCTTAGCCTATCTTCAAAGCCACACGTGCCCTCTGGGCAGTACTCAATGAGCAACAGTGGTGCAGCCCTTGCCAATGGCATAAAAGATTAACTTCTGTATTGCCAGCTGCATTAGAAACAACTACAACATTTAGAAAGTAAAATATAAACAAGCCCATATAATATAATGAAACAAAAATATATTTTTAAAAAAAATTCAATGGATAACACATCACAAATGGATATAAAAAAAATTAAAGCCATCATTTCACAGGCAATTAAAAACTTCGGAGCTGAAGAGGTCTGTGAATTCTCTTTATCTACCATTAAAGATCAAAGAAAAGATGGGGAAAAAGGATATGGCGAGAAATAAAAATAGTAAAAAAGTTCCATTAACGCGGCACCAACGAATTTTCGGCATACCACAGAGGCACTTTCAGGGAAATGCCCGGCTCTTGTCAACCCTGTTATGGGCCAAATTAAAAACCATTTAGTTTACTATTTTTTATTTATTATTATTATTTATTCATTTTTTTCACTCTTTTCCTCGAAAAAGGGTCACTAAACTATGACACCTGCGTATGTCTTGCATGTGGCCATGCATTTTGAGTTCCTTTTTTTCAATTCCTTCTATTAGCTCACACTCTCCCTATATATATCTTGTTCACATTTTCAATCGTTCATAAAATACTTTTTATTCATCCACTCATTCGTTCAAATACATTTTTTTTATACTTGTAGTGGATGACACTGGGGGAAAATTTCATGTTATGAAAACAGTTTTTCATATATTAATTCATTCAATAAATTTAATTCATTAATTTTTACTTTTTATATCCAGAGTTCAAAAAAAATTTCACTTATATAAGATATTTATTCAGGATATTAAATCTAGAAATAAATATCATCAGTGGCAGGATATAAATCTCGAATAAATAGGCGAAGCAGAGAAAAAAATTTAGTTTTCAGATACTTTTTTATTCTGGGTTCTAGTCCGAGTCAAGGAGGGAACAAAATGGAAAATGAAACATGTCAATAAATGAGTGAGAGAGAAAGAAAGTGTGTGTGAAAGAGAGAGAGAGAGAAAGTGCGTGAGAGAGAATTTTTTCTAACTTAAAAAAAAATGAATGAAAATTATTTATAAAGTACTTTTCTGCAATGTAGTGAAAAAAACAGTAGGAAATGACTTAAATTTTTTTTTTTTCTTATATTATTGTTAATAATACGAAAAAGTGAAAATAATCTTTGTTTCTATTTACTAGAAATAAAAAGTGCCATTACTAAAGCCTATAAATCCATATTAATGGAATAGAATTTGCCGTTGCAATGCTGATTCATGAGATCCGTGTAGTTGTCAGACTGACAGTGCGATTTTTATTGAAACCCAACAGGAAAAAACAATACAACAGATAAAATTCCCAAGATAAGGTGGGAAAAAAAAATGGAAGAAAGAAATACTATTTTAAAATTACATACTTTCTCTGACCCATATAGTGACAAGTGAATATTTAAACGGGAGTTATTGGTGAATGCAGCTGTAAAATATGAGACAGCGCAAAAAATTGCGAAGCCTTCCATCAAAAGCAATTGTTTCATGACAGCTGTCATTTGTCATGACACATCTTTCCATATTTAGGGTTAACTTAATTATAACTATTTTTCTAATTTCATCCGTTGATATAAAATCAATTGTTTTATTCCAGTTGAATATCAACCCATTTCAAAAGTAAGATGAGAGTTTTCAAGCAGAGATCGAGTTGCGAATGTTCAGTTCCTGCAACAGAATGAGCCTATCAAGACTTTGGAAATGGGCTTGCGAAAATAATTATGAAGGCAAATCTTGTTCTAACATTGATTATTAAAAAAAAAAAAAAAAAAAAAAAGCTGTGGACCTAAATGCAAAGAATATGGAGGAGAAAAACTTAAGACATATTCCTCTTAGTAGAAGTGGCACCATAAGATAAGCAGCACATGCCACTGAAGTTCCCAAATCTACATTATTCCGAAAAAGAAAAATCCATAAGGACATCCACATCCATTTTAAACATCTCCACATCGACGCAAAGCTTAAAATGGATCCACATCCATTTTAAGCTCAGGGAAAGCAGACCTTCGCAGCCAAGAATCCTACCTACAAGTTTAAAATGCTATAATGAAATGATTGAGAAAGACAGAAACTATCTGAACACTCAAAACAAAAATGATTATTAATATTTTTAATATATTGCTTAATTAAAAAAAAATTTTGTCTGTAAATACTCCTGACTTTGATACCAAAATGTAAGTTTTGTTTCCCGAAAAATTATGACGGGATAAAACTAAATACCTAATATATATATATATTAGCAGGATAAAACGCATCTACAACCATATCACTAATTATTATTAATATGTTAAATTCTGTTCTCTACGTACGGATTTATTCATGTAAGTGACTGTGTTTTTTCCCAAATCTTTAATGACTTCGAGCTATTAAAAAAATAAACTCTTCGTGTCGCGTTACATGTCAGGCATGTCCGAGAGCATGTTCCATGAATTATTTATGAAATTTAATATGCCCTTTACATAGTCTCTTTATAATTACTTAGTGAACAATGGTTTTTATTTTTATTGTATAAAGGAGGATGCGTTTCAATATCATATTTTATGTCTTGATTCCACAAAATCATCCGAGGCACAATCGTATCTGGGGGGGGCTGGCGGGCTTGTGTCCTCTCCAAGCCCACATGTGAAATGTGTGCCCTTCCCTCTTATGCACAATTGCTTTTTAATATGCTTTTATTAGTTTCACCTCTATGTTTGTTTGTTTGTATGTATGTTTGTTTATTTGTAACTGACTCTTTGGGCTCGATTTTGCCCTGCTTTAAGCGATCCGATTTAATTTAAACGTTGTAGACTTATCAAGGATCGACGACACTAAAATATTTTGATAAGTTTATTATCTCATCATGATTAGGATGGCCGGGATTAGTGATTTTATTTTAAATTATGAAGAGCAATTTAACCCATGTAGAATGAAAGTACCTGAGACACTCAAACCTACGTGGGACAGTGACACAACGGATAACGCGCCTGACTACGGATCAGGAAATTCCCTGTTCGAATCCTGGCTGGCTCGACCTATTCGCATTTAGCCTTTGTTTTACTCACAATTAAATTACTGTAAGAACCAGTCCTCCTTACCGGGACCTCATTTAAATATTATAGTTTAAAAACACACTTTTGAGTGAATCAAACTAAAAAGTAAAAATAATTGTTAACATAAGTATAAAATGACTGACGAGAAAATAAATGTCACTGTACTAAAAGCGTGGGGTGCTCGATATCAACAGCTATAATTTTTCACTACTTTCATTCCGAAATGCAGAGTTAGTTTAGAAATGTCATACAAAGCACCCCACGCTTTTAGAACTGCGACATTCCTTTTCTCGTCAGTCATTTTATTCTTATGTTAGCAATTATTTTTTACTTTTTAGTTTGATTCACTCTAAAAGCGTGTTTTTTATTTTTTTTAAACTATTAATTTATTTTAAAAATATTTCATATTTGAAGAATTCAGTGTTTTTCTTATCAATGCCAACTTCATTATCGCGCCTCAGTGTGTTGATTGAGATTGCATTCTTTCTGATTTAGTTTTATTCAATATTCATCGAAATAGTGAAGTTGACATAAGCGATGTCATATATGAGATGGCAAAAAGACAAAGAGTAATTTTTTTGTGTGTAGTACTACTTAGTTTTAATGTTCTCTTTGCCCGACTAGTGGCTCTGTGGTAACGCGCTCACCTGCTGAGCATTAGGTTGAGGTTTGATCTGCTGGTGGCTTCGTTGTAGACACTGTTCCAAAAACGAGACTCCATGGCGTTTGGGATGTTCAGCATCTTGCCTCATTAGTCGGAGTTTTCCGGGTTTTCTCCCATGCAGGGTAGTTTCCAAAAGTCCTCCCTGAAGGCACTTCCCTCCTTCCGAGTCAAAGCTTCTAACTACGGGTGCTCCATCACAACAGAAGCTGCTCCCTTTCCCTCCATCCATGAGTAGATTCTTCATGGGATGTCCGTCCCGCACCGCAGGACACTGAGGATTGACACTGACTCAACAACACAATAATATTCTTTTTTTTTTCGAGTAATTGAGCAGAATGAGTGTAATGTAAAAATTATCAATAAAATAATCAATAAATGGAATTTCGAGATCAGACACCTTTTCTGTTATTTACA